GGGCTGGGGAGGAGGAAACCCGAAGGCTCAGGGAGAGCTGCCTCGGAACGATTTATCTGTCACATAAATGTGGTTTTATTGGTTTTACTGTTTCAACTTTTCACCTCTGCTGCTAAATCTGAACGGCCCAGACACACACACACACAGAAAAAAAAAAAAAAAGGGAAAGGAAAAACCCGCCCGGGCTGCTGAGGGTCTGCCGGGGGAGTTTCCAAATAAAATATGCAAATACCATTAATTCTTTAAACGAGAGTCTCCCTTTCAAGGCCATAAATCAAACTCGACAGCACGTACACTGGGGGGAAAGGGAAAAGAAGAGGAGGGGAAAAAAAATAAAGAGGAGCTTTTAGCACGATGATGCTGAAGGGGGATAAGCTCAGGAAGCTGAAGGGCTTGTGGAGAGCAAGAGAGAGGTTCAGGTGCGTGTTTATAAAAATGAAGGAACGGAGAGTGGTTTCAATGTGATGCCAAAAGAGAGGTAAATTAATTAAAAATTATAAATTAAAAAAGAAATTAAAATTGGTTTTATACGGATACATGAACTTTTCCCCGAATGGTGAAAATTGGAATGGTCGAATCCAAGAGAGGAAAGTGCCGGAAAGAAAGAAAGAATTCAACTGGGAACCAGTTGCCAGCCCTGCCCCAGGCTCTCCTAAGCAGGGGCTGAGAAGCACTTTCTCCCCATTTCATGGAATCACAGACTCACAGAATCATCTAAATTGGAAAAGACCTTTAACATCATTGCCACAGAATCATTCAAATTGGAAAAGACCTTTAACGTCCCCGAGTCCAACCGTCAATTCTACCTCAAAACCCACTTCCTTTTCACTCCCCTCGCAACATCACGTTCAAAAACATTCTTTTCCTCCGAGCAGAGGCTTGTTTTTAAGCCCCTCACCCCAAGCACGGGGAGAGGATGGTTGAAAACCTCAGTGCTGGTGGCAAAGGGGGACAAGGCCATGACTTTGTGTCTCCCTCCAGATGGGAGGCAAGGTGGGACAGCCCTGAGCTGGGTGAAACTCCTTCAGCCAAGCCAGGAACAGTGGAATGTGAACCCCCCAACTGACTCAAAAGACAGTTTGCAAGCTCTGCCAGAGCCCTGGGAACAAGATCTGAGCCAGCACCA